TACCCTCATGTTTCCTATTACACTGGATGATTTTCTAAACAGACACTATGCAAGACAAATGTCTTAACAAACATGCCATTAAAATTTATCTGTTTAAACATAATGAGTTAAAACCAAAACATTTTTGTTTAGAAGTTTATTTATTCGCTAAAGTCATCAATCACCAACTGCTCTGTGTTGAATAATTTCCTGATGTTTTGTTAAACAAATGAGCATTTAATGTGACAGTAGTAGATTTTAGCTTTTTATAAATAATTTAAATATAATTATAAATATAATTCTTTATTAAAAACAGAGGCATGTGCGATGTTGTAAAATATTGGAAAAGTCATTGGTCTTCAACATGTTGTCATATTGACTGTTCTGGAATGGATGTGTTGACCTATCCAGAGGGATCAATTGCTAAATGAATTCTATCAGAAATGATCCACTCCCTGCACAAACACACAGTCTTTAAATGCAGCCTCAAAATAACTGGCACAGCCTATCACAACTCTGAAAGTCTGGGCATCTGTGAAACTTTAAACCTGTTCTTTCATCTGCACAGAGTGGATTATTTTTGTTTGCATACCAGTGGCTCTGATCATCTTTGCAACTGCAGTCATCTCTTTCTTCTCCAGATACTTCCGGTAATGTCATTCAGACCAGATTTCTTTTTTGTCATACTATGAGCTGTGACAAAAATCTAATTAAACAAATGCAAATAATACATATTTATTCTGTATTTACCTCAGTAGAAAGGTCAAGAGGTCCCTGTGGCCACCAGTACCAAACCTTAACAAGGTCCTGGAAAACATCCTGACTGATATCAGTGGATCACACTGGGTAATTGATAACTTTTATAATGATTTAGTGTATGTTCAGAAGACAGTGGTGTGTTTACTAAATATGGAAAGGTTTTCTGTAAAGCAGGGATGTCCAAACTCGGTTCCGGAGGGACGGTGTCCTGTATATTTTAGCTCCAACTTGCCTCAACACACCTGCAAGGATCTTTCTAGAAAGCCTAGTAAGAGCTTGATTAACTGGCTCAGGTGTGTGATTGAGGTTGGAACTAAACCTTGCAGGACACTGGCCCTCCAGGACTGAGTTTGGACATGCCTGGTGTACAGGGTCAAAACAATCTCCATTCAAATAGAATCACCAAAAACATGTTGCATGTCAAAAACTATTTTGCTAGATGATAAATAATATTGAGAAGGCCATGATCAACTTTACTTATTACAATCCATAAAATGTATTTGTTTAGAAATCGGCTATCTTTTATAATTCAATATTGTATTATTGTCTTATTTATATTTACATTACAGAGTTTTTGCTAATAATTTATACACTAATAATAATAATAATAAAGGGTGGTGCGGTGGCACAGTGGGTAGTGCTGTTGCCAGTTGGCATTTCTGTGTGGAGTTTGCATGGTCTCCCTGTGTTCCTGTGGGTTTCTTTCGGGCGCTCCAGCTTCTCCCACAAGTCCAAAGACGAGATTAAGATGAATTGGGTGAGCTAAACTATCCATAGTGTGTGTGAATGAGTGTGTATGGATGTTTCCCAGTGATGGGTTGCAGCTGGAAGGGCATCCGCTGCATAAAACATATGCTGGATAAGTCAGCGGTTCATTTCGCTGTGTATTCCTGCTGATGAATAAAGGGACTAAGCTGAAAGAAAATAAATGAATAAATGAAAATAGGTTCAAAAAGGGAATTTTGCAGCGAGTTCACATTTAAGTTCTTTAGCTCAGTCAATTTGATGAAACTTCTTGTGTTTTAAACGCAGTGACACTATTTTGCAACATAGTTACAGTACATAATGCTATTATCATGCCCTACTTGGCAAAATGCATATGCTGGTTAGGTAAGGTCTGAACTAGTTTGAACTGGTTATTTGCTGATTATGTGCTGGCACTTTGCTGGTCAAGTTCTGGTGGACAGGAGCAGCTTATGACCATCAAACAATCAGCCTAAACAAGGTGTTAAAACCTACCTAAATTTCTTAGCATCAAATCAACATTTCGTCACCTTGGAATTAAAAGGTTCTATCTGTGTTCTGAATGGTTTTGAGATTTCAAAAGTTTTTGCATTCCATAGCAAACCGTATGCAAGTAAAAAAAAAATTTTTATAAAAACTCTTAAAATCCAAACAATCTATATAAAAAAAAATCCAATAATGCAAATAAGTTGGCATTGAATAAGAATATGTCTAACTCAATTTTGACAAAAATTGTCAGACAGAATCTTATAATTCTAAGGTGACAATTTAGCAAGTTCACCTGAATTTTAGAATACATTAGTGTACATGCAGGATGCAACATGCGCAATATACTGACACTGAGAAAAAGAAACTGTTAAAAAAAGTTATTATTTTTGTTTTATGTACACACAGTTTACACAGAAATAATAATTTGAACAATTCTGCATTTTCAGAAGCCAAAATCAGTTTAACAATATTAATACTCGGTAACACTTCACAATAAGTAATTAGTTAATGCATTTACTAACATGAACTTATCATGAACAACACTTGAACAGCATTTATTAATCATAATTAACCATTTACTAATACATTATTAACATCCAAGTCCATGCTTGTTGACATTAGTTAATGCACCATGAGTTAACATGAACTCACATCGAACTACTGTATTTTTATTAACTAACGTTAACTAACATGTTGTTTGTTAATGTTAGTAAATGCATTAATTAACATTAACTAATGAACTATTGTAAAGTGTGACCAAATGCTCTTACATCTAATATGAATTATTTATTATTGGACTTTTTATTAGTCATTTACAAAATAAGTTTTAAAATTTAAAAAAGTGTTTTTCTAAACTACATAATCATGATCCTATTTTTAATTCAGGAGCCAACCTTCAACATCAAGCAATGTGATGATGACACTGCTACATCAGTGGTGGAGGTTCTCACTGAGGGGGAATCTGTGGTCAAAACCTGTAAGAACACCTGTCCTCTGCTCTCTGAGCACAGTGAAAAACATGGAGAACATTTCAGAGAGGACTTGGAAATGGCGCAAGATTATGTGATTTTGAACAACAATATAATCTCCTGCCTTACGGGCAACGACTATGTGTATAAGGATGTTGCTTCAACACATCTGGCCAATGAAAAACAACACTCTTGCTCCAGCACTTCTTACAACTCCCTACCAGAACGCACCACAGATATTCTCAACCAATCCTATCTCCTTTTGGCAGAACAATCCGATCTTGAGACGTATCAAACAACCTGTGGCCAGTACACCAATCTGGAGATCACAGCAGTATCATGTGTAGCAATTGGAGAGTGAGGTTTACTGTCAAAATGAAGCTCATAATCATGTATATATTAAGGGTTCTCTCACAAATGTAAAAAAGACATTCAGTTTCTTTGGAATGAATGAGAAACAAAGGAAAAGCAAAGCTTACGTCAATGGAGCACTTATGAAGGTAATGTGAATCTGTAGCGCATGTTGTGTATTTTGAGTTGAGATTACGCAATACGTGAATCTTTACCATAAAAAGTACTGCACTAGCTTTGTCATAATACAAACCAAAATATTCAGAAACGATAATTAGACATGCCAAAAGTCAAATGTGTGGCTTTTGCATTACATGAGAATAACATGAAAAATATTGAAAGTGTACAACCATAGCTAACGATAGAAAACAACCACCTGCAGTCAGTTTGTAAAAAAAACATCATGTATATTATTGAATGTTGAATTACCATGCGACTTTAAATGTAAAAATGTTGAGGCTTTTTTTTGTGGACGTTTTTAAATCCTCCTGTAAAATGTTAGATATTTAAGCTTTGAAGGTGTAATAATATTCAAAATGGATGTTGCGAGTTAAGCGTGTTATAGATCCACTCACTGGCCACTTAATTAGGTACACCTTACTGGTAACAAGTTGGACCTGCTTTTGCCTTCAGAACTTCTTTAATCCTTCATTGCATAGATTCAACGAGGTGCTGGAAAATTTCTCAGATTTTGGTCCATATTGAAATGATAGCATCACGCAGTTGCTGTAGATATGTCGACTGCACATCAGTGATGGGAATCTGCAGTTCCACCACATCCAAAAGGTGCTCTATTGGATTGGGATCTGGTGAGTTTGGAGGCCATTTGAGTACAGTGAACTCATTGTCATGTTCAAGAAAGCTGTCTGAGATGATTCGTGATTTATAACGTAGTGAGTTATACTGCTGGAAGTAGCCCAGTGTGGTCTTCTGCTGCTGAAGCCCATCTGCGTCAAGGTTCGACATGATGCTCTTCTGCATACCCTGGTTGTAACGAGTTGTTATTTGAGTTACTGTTGCCTTTCTATTAGCTGGAACAAGTCTGGCCATTCTCCTCTGAACTCTAGCACCTAGAAGGCATTTGTGCCCAACTGCTGCTCACTGGATATTTTCTCTTTTTCAGACCATTCTCTGTAAACCCTAGAGATGGTTGTGCATGAAAATCCCAGTAGATCAGCAGTTTCTGAAATACTCAGAGCAGCCTGACCGGCACCAACAACCAAGCCACATTCAAAGTCAATTAAATCAGCTCTCTTTCAAATTCTGATACTCAGTTTGAACAGCAGCAGATCTTCTTGACCATGTCCACATGCCTTAATGCGTCAAGTTGCTGCCATGTGATTGGCCGATTAGAAATTTGAATTAAGGAACACTTGGACAGGTGTACCTAATAAAGTGGCCGAAGAGTGTTGTATTTACATCATACATCTGTTAGAAAGCTTATATGGTATAGCTAAATCTTGCACTTAGCACAGTCTTTCATACCAGACTCAAGCTAATACAAAGGGTAAATAGTTTGGCTATAGTTTTCCTGCGAAATTTCATGATTTGATCATTGTTTTATATAAATCTTAAATGTAATTAACAGTGAATATCTCTTTAATATTAGCAATATTTGTTAAAATTATTCTTCAGCATCTATACTTGTACATTTGTAATAAGTTGTCTGTCTACCTTGTACTGACAAAGGCACAGTAGCAATGTCTTGTGATCAGTTCAGTCAATAGCTTTATTGCATAAAATTTGAAACATCCAACATTTTGGCACACTATATGAAAAATGTATATTTTATGTGAATCATTAAATGATAATAAAGAAATGTGCGAGTCTCGCTCTCCCACACTAAATTGCTTAATAATAAAGCCTTTGTGTAAGTTTTCCAAAAGACATTTAAGCTTGAATGTGAAGACATGATTAGAAGCCAAGAGATACAGTTAAACACACAAAGAATGAGCATATTAAAATGTGCTTATAGAACTGTGTAGAATTATTAACCATTAAAATAGATAATTTATTTAAACATTTTAGACAATAAACGGTTCATAAAATTATGCTATGGATCGCCATAATAGCCTGAAACATGCTAGACAGCATGGCCGAGTTTTTAGTCAGCCTTCAAGGCATAAAGCACATCATCTTGACTAACATTGAGACGGATTCGGAGAAACAGGTCCAGACGGCTTCCTTCAAGCAGCAGCAAGCGACAGGAGCCCAGCCTCTGACAGACCAATAACCCTTCAGACACACTCACTGGCTGCAAACCTTCAACGCGACACAGAGCCTGGTGCTGAACAAACACCTGAAGACAAACAATTCAGCATTTAAATCGTTATATTAAACCATGGGTATACAGTCAAAATTATTAACCCTGATGTGAAATGTTCATTCTTTAAAAAGTATTTCCCAAGTGTTGCTTAACGATGAAGATTTTAACACATTATTAAACATAATACTTTTGAAATCTAAAAAGTTCTCTCTTCAACATGGTGCATAATACTTTTCTGCTGACTTTGCAAAACTCTAATATTCAGTTTAAAGACATAACTAGGTTATGGTACCTCGGCAAGTTTGGATAATTAGGCAAATCATTGGATGACAGTGGTTTATTCTGTTGACAACTGAATAAATATATATCCCAAGGGGGCTAATAATACATAATACTGATTTTATTATTATTATTATTATTATACAAATTCAAAAACAATATTGGCTGAATTAAGGTTTTTTAAATTTGGGAACGATGGAAACCATTCATAAGGTACTTGGCGCAACAGAATCAGTTGATGGAGATATTGATTAAAATTAAGTGAGATTCTACGAGTATCCAATCAGTGTTTTTGGTAATCTCCCCAATCAGTGTGCACAAACAGACAGAAACTTTAGGTGAGTGGTGTATGGAGTATTGTTATTTTATGCATGCATGTATGCATATACAATGCTTGGCATATAAGTACACCCCTCACAAATTTCTTATTTAAATTGATATTTTCTATAGCATGCTTTACAATATTATATTAATGCATTTACATTGCATTAGATAGTACAGAAGTCAAATGTGGAGCTGATCTAACAAAATTATTTATGATAACAGTAAAAAAAATCTGTGCCCAAATTTATGTCAGGGAAAAAATATTAAATGAAAAAATAAATTACTTAATTATTTAAAAATAAGAGAAACAAAAAATATATTAAATTTTAAATTTAGTAGTTTGTAATTTGCTTTGCAATACTTTGCATTATTTTTTTATCTATTATATTTCTGTTTCTAAAGCTATTTGGTGACTAAATGATTTATTTAATAAATGTTTCTGTCATCAGTTATGTTCAAAATCACCAAAATAAACTGCCTAATTGACTCGGAAAAGGATAAAAAAATAAATAAATAAAATATTTTTTTTTTTTCCTTCTGTAGTTAAACCAAGAACACCTGTACTCATGTCTAGAAGTACATACTCATGTTACATAATCATAGAAGGAACATGTTAGGCTTAATTTTGTATGCATAAGGAAAATATGGAGACTCTTTATGTATTTGTGCATTCCTGTGTGTATTTAAACATTAAAAAAGAATTTGTAATAATAATTTTGATTTCATGCAATGTTCGCAATAAATATACAGTTGATTTTAATAAGGACCTGTTTACATCAGGTATCAAAATGCATTTCTGTTATGCTGATGTGTGCACAAATGGATTCTCATAGCTTGATAAAATTCCTATTAAACCGCTGAAGGCAACCACTCTGTTCTAAAAAGGTTTACTGTTTTTTTTCTGGACTGTGAACAAGACCATTGCTGTCAATGGAGGATGAGGGAACTGTCAGATTTCACTTAAAACAACTTAAATTGTATTTTAAAGATTAGCAAAGGTCTCAGGGGCTTTGGAAAGACTTGAGGGTCAGAGATTTAAAAAGTGACTTCTCATTATTAAGTGAACTGGCCCTTTAAGGTTGGTTATATACAAGTTGTGTTTAGCTACCTGTTGAAAAGTGGCCTCTTCTAGACCCAGTCGACGAAACTCTGCAATTACAGCCCTCAGGAGGAGCTGCTCCTGAACAGATGCAGACCTACAAGAAACATCATTGAAAAGAGCAGAATAGGATCAGAATAGTTCACTTTTTGTCACACAACGGAGCCTCTTGCACAATTTCAGAGACTTTTTCTATCGTGGAACGTTTCTTCCACCTTATTTCCTTTTCTCCTCAATTCTTTTTTACCTTATGGCTGCGATGTAGGAAGAGGAGAACATCTCATCTAATGCCTCCATCACATGACTCATTCCCACCAATCCACTGCCTTTCTGCTGGTTTCCAGAGTGTTCACAAATCTCTGTGGCCCGTCTGCAGATATCAAGACAACGTCGTGCATCACCTGAAAGAGCTGCCACCTAGAAAATCACAAATAATCTTTATGAATTCATAATGATTCAGCTTGTTTAAACTGACAGGATTTTTTATGCTAACATCTTGTACACCAAGCCCTCTTACCTTTCTTGAGACCAGCTGAAGAGCGTCTTCTTCAAAAGCCTTTACCCTGTTCAGTCTGGACGTGATGATTTGTTGTAGCTGTTTAAATGTATATGGCTGGAAGGACATTCTTGTCAGTCCCTGAAAGTGAATAAACATGCCTTTGTTATATTTGTTTCATTTAGAGTCATAATTGAAAGACAACTCAAAGTCATTAAATGGTCTTACCAATCGACTAGCAACACGATTGATCATGATTCTCTCAGGCAAGTCCATGGTGTTTGCAATAGTGAGGACCACCAGACGAGCGTTGCGTCGTGTTGGCCAGTCAAACAAGTTGTACATCACATTCTGCTTACGGGTCCACAAAAGGTCAAGCTGAATAAGAAAGGAGATAAGAATGTATGTCAGTATACATACATAAAAAAAATGTCACCATGTCAGAATATTTGGCTATTTTTATGGCAGAACAATTTAGAAAATAAAAAATAGGGGATACAAATTTAAAAACAGCAAACAAACAAACAAACAAGTTATATTATTACACAATTTTTTTTACATTATTAAACACTAAAAAATCCTAAAACTATTACTGGCAAAATTAAACTTTTGCTCCTTAATAGTGAAAAAAAGTTGTAGGATTTGTTTATTAACGCAGCAATTTATGTATAATATAAAATAAACTTTTTATTTCCTTGCTGGTTTTAATTTTGTATCAGTTATACTTGTTATTTCTAAATTGTTTATTATGATTTTATATGTTATTTAAGAAATTGTTTTTAATTAATACATTTAATTAACCTAATCTAACCAAAAGTAAAATGCTAACTTAATTGTATATGTAAACTCTTCTAAAAAATTTTTAGACGTTTTCTAGATTTTTAAATTTACCGCATTTTTAAAGCTCTTAAAATAAGAAAAGGTAAATAGGTTGAAACTAATCTTGCAATAAAACTGTGAAAATAAACTGCTTTGTTATAATTGCAGAAAGAAATACTGACAATATCGTAGTAAACATCATGAGGTGTGTTTAAAAAAAATAGGCTGGAGAATAGGAACATAAAACGTAAACAATTTCAATAACAATAATAATAATTATAATAATAATCAGCTTAACTTCTGTCTCACCTCATCTACTAGCAGCACAGTTGTCTCTTTTTTGGGCGCAGGAGCACTGAAGCGTTTCTCCAGGAGAGCAGCTGCATGATCAGATGTTGCTTTTTGATCAGTCAGTTTCTACAACCAAATCACAAACAAAAAAACAAACAAATATTATATAACGTCTATGCTATTGAAAAAAAGGACTGTGGGATAAAGGCAGCGTGCAGACCTGTAGAATCTGTACATAAGCCTGATGTGGGTCTGTCATTTTCATGCCGTTGATCTCGATGAAGTTAAAATGGGGGATCTCGTCTTGTTCTGCAGACTGCTGAAGAGATCGGATCACTTCATGCACTGTGGCTGTTTTGCCAGTTCCAGGAACACCTGAGATATACATACACCTGCAAAATAAAATTAAGAAATACAAAAAAAAATGTAAACAAAACGACAAAAAAAATTAAAAAGACTTAAATCAACAAAAAAAAGCTTTTTAACAGATGAATGACAGAACCATACCCTCCAGTGCCATCAATGACTTTACTCTCTACAAAGTTGTAAATGTCCTGAAACTCTTGTTCACGACATGGCAAAGACTCAGGAACAGCAGAAACATGTAACCTGATACCATAAGAAGAAAGAAAACAAGATTCTCAAATTTAGGGTTGTGACAACAACAAACAGATTCGTCCATTTTTATATCGACTTATAAACTTCTTTGCTGAGTGTTTTTGTGCTTTTTGTCTCACAAATAAAGAAACATGACACTAAGGGGTCAGTAGGTGGCGGCAAATCCCAGTCTTAAAAAGTGATTTAAATTATTAAAAATTCCTGATTCATTTAGAAGTAACAATTATCTATATGAAAAAAAACATTGAATGAATCATTAGCTCTCTCTATACATGTTGACAACTGTATTGTGGTTCTGAAGTGCACAAATCTTCTGCCTCTGATTTGTTTGGAACATTTATATTGGAGAGAGAGAAAAAAACTAAATAGTCAAAAATGTAAATCACTTGAGATTTACTCATTTGTTGAACTGTTGTACAAAAATCAGTTTCATATATGGAATTATTATGATTATTACTGGCATATAAAGATACTAGCAATTGTTTTACAGATATCAGTATTAATGATATATATTGAAATTACTTACCAATATTACAACTGATGATACAGCACTTATTACACTGTGATTTTTATTTTATAATGTATTCATGCATGTGATTTATGTATATAACTTTATGTATATATATATTCAGAGTATATATGAACACTCACCGGCCACTTTATTAGGTACAAGTCTAAGTGCAAACTTCTGATCAGCCAATCACAAGGAATTGTGATTGGCTGTACTTTTATGTGATTGGACATTTCGAATTCTGATGTGACATTCAGATGACCACAGTATACCCATCTTCTGATGGCTACATACTGCAGGATAACTCACCATGTCATAAAGCACCAATGATCTCAGACTGCTTTCTTGAACATGACAATGAGTTCTGTACTCAAATGGCCTCCACAATCACCAGATCTCAATCCAATCGAGCACCTTTGGAATGTTTTGGAACGGGAGATTTGCATCATGGATGCGCAGCTTAAAAATCTGCAGCCACTGTGTGATGCTATCATGTCAATATGGACCAAAATCTTTAAGGAATATTTCCAGCACCTTGTTGAATCCATAGCAAAAATATTTAAGGCAGTTTTGAAGGCAAAAGTGGGTCCAACTTGGTACTAGTACGGTGTACCTAATAAAGTGGCCATAAACGTTCTGAGTATTCATGTATATATTCTGTTATTGTTTTTATCTATCACTTATTTGTGGATACCGCTAGAATTTATGAGTTTCCCTTTGGAATAAATAAAGTATCTCAGGGATATACTGTAATTATTTTAACATGACTTGAATTATAATGGCATTCCAACAGCATTCTATTATTGTAATCAAGCAGATTATGCCTTTCAATTTTTAATTTTTTTTTGCATAAAGAATAAAATCAGCTCAAACATTATTAGTAATTATAACAAACTATAAAAATATTATTGTTGACAATAAACATCAAGCACACCTATTATCAATGTTTAAAATGCTGTGTAATTTTTGTGGAATCTAAGATAAAATTCTTTCATCTTTCTTGATGTTTACCGTGCACGTGCTTCTTCCAGAACATTTCCTGGTTTCCTGGCAGGTGCAGTCCTGCTGGGTATGCTAGGGGTGGCATGACGTGGTGTGCGTGGGGTGGATGGAGCAGCCTAGAATTAAAAAAAAGATTACTTAAATTCAGTCTTTGTTTTTTTTTAAAGAATTAGCATTGCATAAAATGCAAATGTAACCTTCTTGCTAGGTGTTTTACATGGGGTCCTAGCAGAGACACAGCTTTTATCCGTAGCTCGGGGTGTTCGGGAGCCTCTGCGCTTCTTCACTACAAGTTCATCTTCGCTGTCAACCTTTGCCTCCAGTTCTTCATCGCTGCTACTCTGCAGGTCAATCTTAGAAGGTACAAAGCAGTCATCCTCATCGCCATCCTCACCATCTGACTGCAGGTCAAACTTGTTGGCAATCAGATTTCTTTAAAGATAGACAATAACATATGCTTAAAATCACTTCAAAAGCATCAAAATGTGTCTGCTTGAAATGGGTGCATTTATTAAATAAATGATTGCATGCAAAACAACTTACAGATTATACATTTACTTTTATTTTTGTCTGTTTCTAGTCCAGATATTTAAATTCTTAAAATCAAGAAGCATTTTCCAGACAGGTAAAAACATAATCTCGTTTTCAGAAATAAGTCAAAATTTAGTGATTCTTTCTTTGAAAAGCTAAATCATCTTGTTTTTGCTTTGAACTAAAATAATTTTGCTTACCCCATTGGCAGATTTTTTTGCTTGTTTTAAGTAAAAACTGACTTAATTTTGACATTATTTCTGAAAACAAGACAATGTATTTACTAGTCTATAAAAATATTATATTAAGAATATTGCATAATATTATATTATTATATTAAGAATTTTTTGATATTTGGAAAATCTCTAAACAAGACAAAAACACTAAGAAAAGCATTTTTAATTTGCATTGTAGGACCAAGATCTAAATAAAAAACTTTTAAAAGTTGCAAAATAGAGCCTTAGGAAATATGTTTTTGATTTATTCATACATACATATTTTATGCAACTTATTTAAATTGTTTTCTTTTAACTGACTGTAGCCATTGTGGGACCTACAGCTGCTTTCTGATGCGCGAGGACACAAGCTGGGCAGATTTCCTCTTAGAGCGGGGAGTTGCAGCAGTCTGTGCAGGCGAATCTTCATGCTCCTCTTCAGCTCTGCCGTGTTCACAAAATTTTAAGAGTAATATTTAATACCTTTTTAAACATGAAAAGAGCAACCTCTCACCACTGCAAGTTCAGAGTTAAAGGGATAGTTCACTAAAAACTGAAAATTCTGTCATCATTTACTCAACTTTCATTTGAGGTCAAATTTATCTGTTAAACACAAATGAAGTTCTTTTGAAAAATGTTGGAAACCTGTAACCATTGATTTCCATAGTATTAGTTTCTCCTATGGAAGTTAATGGTACAGGTTTCTGACATTTTTCAAATGATCTTCTTTTGTGTTCAACAGAAAAAAAACGAATGAAGGTTTGTAACCACTTGAGGTAAACAGGTAAAAGTATATATTAATTTTGGGGTGAACCGTTCCTTTAAATATAAAGTCAAACTTGTTATAGATGATCAAATTTCAGAAAATGAGGTAGGAGTTCAAATGATGACAGGCATGGAAACCAGCTTTACACACACACACACACACACACACACACACACACACACACAACACAGTTCATGCCATTAAGTTCTGCCCCTGTTGGTTAAAAATGCCCAGTTAATAGGTGAATTTTAAATCATCAAAAATCTAAATTTGACCAGGAACAAATTGTATCATATAAAACATTTAATAAATCAGTACATTATAGATGGATGGACAGATAAACACGAACACAAATCTATAGGTTTAAGGTAATATATGACGCTTACAAAGCTGTCAGTGCTGGTTCTTTGAGTGACGCTGAATCTTTCCTCCTAGATGGAGTTCTTGCCCTGGTTTGAAAACAGACAGACATAATTAGATCACTATAACTTATGTTTTTTTCAGAGAACTCAAATCAAAAGGATCAATTAATGAAGCAAGTCAGGGCGCCCCAGTGATTTGGAATAAATTACTCTTCGAGTGAATTGCAATAAACCGTGCTTATATTGTGACAAAAAAAAAAACACAAAACCACCTAATATGTGCAAGTGCATTTAATTTTGGGAATTATGGATTGACAAATTCTCAAAATGGTGAGCCATACACACTGCAGAGTATGTGTGAAACAGGCATAATGAAACCCCAACACCATCCAGAAAATGAGCCAGTATTCTCTCTGTGGAGCAATAGAGGAACATGACTCACTTCAACCCCCTTACACTTGCTCTTCTGGGAGTTGCCTCTCTTTTGCGAGGTGTTCTGCCAGTATTATTGAGTGACTCTGAGTCATCGTCACCCAGTGCCGGCACCCCGAGAAAGACACTAGGAGAGCAGCACGACTTTTAGAACAAGGTTATGCTATTATTTATAGTTATTTATACATCCAAATAATAATCATAACACATTATTTACATTACGCACATCTTGAGAGCCTTAACAGTTAGAATGCCTACATAATTGAAGATATGGAGAAAAAAAACTAACTTTTGGTGTTTCATTTCTTAACTAATCTTTTTTAGAATGAATCGTGGATTCATTTGATGACGACTTGTTTCTTTTATAAATAAATCAAGGATTTTAGTCTCATTTATCCACGAGACGACCAAATTTATTTGCGTTTAAAACGTTTATTTGTCTTTCATAAAAAAAAAAACCTTGATTAACAAAATGGGGGACACAATTGGGAAATACCATTTCAATTTAAATCCTACTTCCTGCCCTTTTATATATTTAAAAAGTACAGTAAAAAAATTTAAGGAAAACAGGCAGATTATACATTTAATTTTAAAATAATCTTAAAATCTATAAGAAAAAAATTTAAGAAAAATCAGTGTGCTGAAATACAATTTTGCTATATTAATTGCAGGAACACATCAGCAAAATGACATTTTATGAAAATGTTTTTTCATCATTTAACATTTAAAAAATATATATATTAACATTACTTATGCTTATTTTCTGTGCAGCACAAAGTCCTAAATTTTAGACCAGGGGTGTTAAACTTAGTTCCTGGAGGGCCGGTGCCCTTCACAATTTATTTCCAACCCTGCTCCAACACACTTAAGCTGCGGTCACACTGGGCTTTTCCTTACATAGACTTCCATTCATAAGCACGCGAATGCATCAGACCGGAAACGCGGGGTCATGCATCAAGTTTCACAGGTTGCTGCGGTGCAAAGTTCAAGCTTGGTGAACTCTGACCTGCAAAATCACATCACTTGACTGCGTGAGACCAACCGAGGATCAAAACATGACCTTTCTGGACAGAAATTTAAAACATGGAACAATCGCTCTCTTTTTAAAATGTTTAATCATCTTGGTTAATCCCACCCCTTTTCACAGCGCCGTTTGACAGAATTTCACATACACAAACTCTGGTGTGACTTCAGCTTTACCTGCACGTTTTAAACAAGCCTGAAGGACTTAATTAGTTTGATCAGGTGTGTTTAATTATGGTTGGAATTAAACTGTGCAGAGTTGTGGCCCTAAAGGAACTACATTTGACGAACATCAACAAGTGCTTTAGACGAACATAAACAAATGTAGACGTAAATATGATTATTCAAAGCACTGAATCAACCAACTGCCATCCTCTCTTTTCATCTAAGCATCAACATACAGACTCTCTCTGTCCATTCGTAACAATAACAGCACACATATCGAAAATAAAAAAATCTTAAAACACCCCGGGGGTGGGGGTGGAGGGGGGTTTGCATGTCCCCAGTAGACATTCCCCTGTCCCCAGTGAAAGTTAATATTAATATATTACATAAATATAATTACCAGCAATCTATGGTTTCTAAGATAATTCATTGGGACATTTTCAACCCATCTGGCCTTAACCCTTAAATGACTTTGACACATTACATTAAGAAACAAAAGAAAATATCAGATGCAAAAAGATGTACCTGGTCGCACTGTCACTTCCATATGCAGTCAGTGTGGGTTTATCAGGGCTGTGTGATGACAGAGGCAAGATCTGCTGCTCCTCATTACATTTAACTGGAGTCAGTCTAATAGAAATAGAAATGCGGCCTGATGGAGACGAGTTAATCTTAGACATCAGTGTTTTGTCTGTATCGATGTGTTTATCCAAAATCTCCCCCAGAACATCATCTCGGGACATGTTTTTGCTTGGACCTAACACAATGAAAACAAATCAGAGACATTCAGTTCACTGCAATCGAAACCATTAAAAGCATTATAAATATGTGGATGAATGACACTCACTGCACAGCTCCAGCTTTTTACGAACATGTGGCCCCGAGGAAGCTCTGCTCCTCCTCTTTGCACTAAGAGCTTTAGCTGCTGAGAGCTTGGAAGCAGAATGGAGAGACTCTGCTTCAGTGGAGCTCATTTTTCCGGTGCTCATGCTGCCGCGGGTAATAGCACCTGTTATGGCCCTTTTCATTATTGAGGGGTCTGGTGTTGGAAGAGGACGAGCCTGAGGGCCCCGTGAAGATGGCGGGGGAGATTTAGGGCTGGGAGGAGGTTCTATCAGCTCAGGATCCACCGCTTGGAAGGATTTTGTGTCCCATGAGTGTTTGACAAATAGCATGTCTTTGCTCTTTCCCTCTGGAAAAGGATGCTCAGGTGCGATGTACATGATCTAAATTCAAAGTTTTTTATAATAATATTACTATTAAATATTACTGAAAGGAAGAAAAATATACAATTAAAACTAAATATTAGCAAATATGACTAAATTACTAAATAATAGTACTTTAAAAAAACAAATACAATAAATAAGGCCCATGTATTTAAATAAAAAGTTTTAAAATTTAAAATAGGTACATTAATAATAACATAAAATATGATATTTAGAAATAATTAGAAAACATAATAATAATACTAATAATAAATATAAATCATAAAAAAATAATTGTATTGATAATTCTTGTTTTTAGAGTCCGTTTTTTTTTTTTACTGTATAAAAATGTGATCTCTTCATGATACGATTCCTACAACTCTATTATGCTCACCTGTACTGGCGCAAGAATGCTCTCTCCATCCACCTCATTATCACAAGAGCTATCCTGATAGAAAAAAACCTCCTGTGGGTGAGGGTCTCTGCCCAAGAGCTTGCGCTTATATTGAGGAACTTCACAAATCCGCACAAACCACTGCACCACAGCAGTCTTCATCTTTCCTGATTCTGGGTACAAATGTTACAATAACCAACACTGATTGCGATTTAATGGCCCATTAATTTCACTGAGTGGTATGGTACGCTTTTATGGCTGTTTCCACTGTGAAAGGGTACCTAAAAGCGATCCGTACTGTACCGTATCACTTTTTAGTCACTATTTGAAAAGAGTTATACAAATGGGAACCATAAGGCGGAGCTAGACGCGCAGCTAAACGCTATTGGTTTACAGATATACGTCACTCGCAAAAGCAGAATAAAAACAAAAGAACCGCCATTTTTAAAAATACAGCCGAGACATTACACTGTAATAATATCTACATATAATAACAGGCCATGGTCGAACAGAGCTCAAACAAACCTTGTCCTCGTCTTGATGTACTGCCACAAAGCCAAGGAGAGCAAATTCTGCTGTGTCCTGTTGTTGTTTTACGAGCCCGTCTAAAGCACGAGCTGTTTCACGTTCTCGAGAGAGATCGCCACGCCTATATTTCTATTTGAAATAATGAACTTTATGAGCTCATATTAATAACGTGCTCATGCTCACTGAAGAGATCTGATCCTGTCATAACAAGACAAACGTGAGAGTGAAGTGCGAAAAAACTAAGGAGAAGCCGGTAAAAACAGCAAATGAGCAACCTAAAACATGAACAAACTGCCATGTTTAACTATTATCATCACCTTTTAAAATTACTTTTAACAAGAGGTTACATGTGCTGGTGAAGACAGAAGATACAGATGAGATTTGCTCTGACTGTGGGCTATTTGCTGCGTGTAGTTTTTGAACCCAGATAAGGACTAAATGTGTGTAGTTTTTCGGTAATTGATAACATATCAGAGATTTTAAGGGGCTGTATGTGTTCATATAGGTTGCATTTATTTATTTTTTTTATATAATTGCAGACGTTACGGTAGGCTATTTTGCACTTTGATCATTGATCTGCAGTTATAATCAACTCATGTTCATAGAAAGGTGAGTTATGAACATTTATGCACAAGTATTTATGTGTAAAAAAGCACCTGTTCTGCGGGAAGTGCTTCTCATATGACATGTAAATGACACTTACGGCTTTTACTGTGACATTTCCTTGAGTAAAAATGACGTTGTCTAAAACTTTCTGTCGAACACCACGCCCACCAAAAGGGTACCCTTTTGTCAGTGGAAACACAAGCCTGATACAGGTGACCCGTACCGTACCTCTCAGTGGAAATGGGCCATAGCCGTTGATTTGTTTTGTATCTTTTTTAAAAAAATGACATAATAGTACCATCAGTGTAGAGTTTGAGAAGCTGTGCCACATAGGGATTGTCATCATTTTCGCCCTCAATCAAAATGTACTGCCCTAAGGATACGGTCACATCTTCTGTTCTTCCATCCACAGAAATCGACATGGATCTGTTTAAAATCATGAAAAGTTATTGCTGTTACATTCCGACTTCAAACATGACTAATGACTTGCACTATAATTATGGAATAATGATGCAAGACACAACATTTTATAGAGACTGCTCTCACCATGATCTATTAGACGTTTTAGAACAGAGATGACTAATACATTTTAGTCAATTACACTTTCAAGTTTTTTTTTTTTGGGTCTGATGAAAAGTTAATCCCTAATAGGTGATAAAACCCAAAATATTAAAATGGAGCTGATAAATATTTAGCAAATTATCCACTATTTTGTAGTGGATAATTTAGGGGTTAATTTGAGAGAGGGGTAAACTGATTTTAAATCATGTTAAATCCTATACCTTTCTAGAGGTGAAAAGCAAAATGTAGGAAACCTTAACTGATATCTGTATTATTTTATAGAGGACATGTTGAAGATCAAACATACCAATGTATAACATTTCCCTTGACCAAACAACAGAATTAAAAATAATTATCTTGGTGATACAAAAAATTCCCCAAATGTACATACTAAGGAAATGTTGAAGTTCTTTCAATTGTCATTGCTAATTAAACTGTTTTATCAGACTATTTTTTTAAGGCCCAACATAGTTTAATCCCACAGATATATCATAGATCTAAATTAGCCAAATTGTTGTATTTTTCAAATGCATTTTCAAGTGCGGAAAACTAAATGTTGGTCACTTTTCAAACAGTTTGTTAGTTACTGTATTTAAATGGGAATGCCAACAGAGTAAATAAAAATGAAACTAAAAATATTTCCCTTCATCAAAACAATTGCATGTAACATCCGCAAAAGTGATCCAAAATATAAAAGGATATGAAGAGATATTTAATACTCATTCAGACTTGGGTAAAAAGCCAAGAAGTTTTTCCTTTTTTTGTAACGCCTCTAATAGTCACAAAGCATTAAAGATTGACAACAGTCAACTATTTTACTATGTATAAAGTATACAACTTATTTTACTGTATGTAAAAAAACAATGCAGCTTCCATCTCTATAAAGTCATTTAAACCTTCTTTAAATTGCAGATGAAAACTGTTAATTTGTAACCTTATTCTACAAATGTGAATTACTCTGTAAATGTCCATTTATGATAATTAATATTCTGGCTTTCACTAATTCGCTCCCAAAAATATTTAATTTGTAGACCTGTTGTAGAGTAAGCAGACACAGAATGATCAATTTCAGACACTATAAATGCTTCAACTACATTTCAAGGTCTCACAATCAAACTATTTTCATAAATTTCTTTTTTATTTGTGTTCTACTTGTGCAGTGATCATCAAGATGTGATAAATGCACTTACCCATAGTATTGCCTTCTGAGTTTCCGGTCTTCACCCACAGGTCTGCCGTTCCATTTGTAAGTTCTTCTCATACTCAGTCTTGTGATGTAGCGGCTCATGTTGCAGATCTGAGAAAGAATGATGCACAACATCAATTACAAAACCACAGGTATCTATACATCTATATCTACACACACACAGACAGACAAAGACACACAAACACACGCACACACACACACTCACACTCACACTCACACGCACACGCACGCGCACTAAACAAAATATCTTTTATACATTGTTATTGCATTAGTGTATGTATCCGCATTAGTCACATCACGGGTTTAGCTTATTTTTTAAATATTAAGACAAGATTTTTTTTTACAATGATGACCATGTTATTTTATGTTTGGTTGTTAAATTTCTGTACTGAAATATTGCTAGACTCTCTACAAACCCAAAAAGCATTGTATACTGTATTTAAATATGCTTTTAATTTATTATACTTTATGCAAATGCACTGCATTGATTTTAGAAAAACAAAATATTGCAATGTCAGATTTTTCTAATATCATGCAGTCCTGATATGCTCACACATATATGTACATACATATATACACATACAGACAACCCCAAATCAGAAAAGGTTGGCACAGTATGGAAAATGTAAAAAAAAAAGAAAAGTGATTTCCACATTTATTTATTTTTTTAAACATTAATTCCAATTTTGGTTTTTGCAACACATTTCATGAGAAGTTATAACAGTAAAGAATTTACCACATTAAAATGATGCTATTCCTTTTTACAACACTTAAGTGTTGTAATTTTACCCCATTCTTTTTGCAAAAAAGTCTTAAGGTGGGCAACAGTGTGTAGCCTCTGTTGTCACATTTTGTGCTTCAAAATGCACCACATTTTCTCTATTGGAGACAAGTCGGGACTGCAGGCAGGCCAGTCAAGTGCCTCTAACCTCTTCCTCTGCAAGTTGCCTTTGACAAGGGACATTCTATTTGAATATTTTAATAATTTCCTCACATATCTGTTGGTAAACGTATGCGATCCTCAGCCCATATCTGCTCTTAAAGCACTAGACCTTTCTTAGATGCTGCTTTTGTATCAAATCATAATTACAATCACCGATTTGACATCACCTGTTTCAAATCACATCATTTAACCAATTTACCCGATTAATAGCACTAAATTACTTTTGTCCCAACTTCTTTTGGAATGTGTTGCAGGTCTAAATAACAGGAAATTATGTATATTTACAATTAAAATGAAGTTGATCAGACAAAACATTAAATATTTTGTGTTCGTATTGTCTGCAATAAAATACAAGTCAAAGTAAAGTTGGAAATCACTAATTTTTTATTTACTTTTTCCATACTGTACCAACTTTTTCATATTTAGGGTTGTATATAACTTTAAATATATTGTTTGTGTGTGTGTGTGTGTATATATATATACATATATATATATATGTATGTGTGTGTGTGTGTATATGTGTGTGTATATATATATATATATATATATATATATATATATATATATATATATATGTGTGTGTGTGTGTGTGTGTGTGTGTGTGTGTATGTATATATATATATACATATATATATATATATATATATATATACATACAAACATATATACATATACATATATATATATATATATATATATATATATATATATATATATATATATATATATATATATATATATTGTTGTAAATGTAATCCCACAAATGACCAATGAACATTTTTGACTGTAGTTAACTTACTTGTCACTGTTAAAATAAACAGTCAAAACAGGATTGTTTATTTATCCATCAGATTTGTAACAATACGAATATTGAGGACTACCTATAGCCTGAGAATTACACATATAATCATGTGGTCATCTGGAAGACGAAAAGAAAGCATTTAAACTTTTAAATAACCACCATCTTCTTTATGTTTTAAACGTCACAATGGTTTGCTATGTACACAACATTAAATCCCCAGCGCCTCTCTTTCTTACTTACCAGGCGATTAACGTTAAGTGTTGCAACTGCACCAAATATCCGTGTTAATATGTAGAACACTACTCCGTCTCGGTCACACTATGAAACCCGAAAATTAAAACTGAAATGTGAGTGAAATAAAACGCATCTTACGACACAACGGAGAGCAAAAGCACACACGCCACACAACTTTTTCGCGCGTAGATGACGTATGAAGGTTTTTTGATTGGACAGTGAAAAACTGCTTGACCTTGCGGATGTGACGCACACTTTCCCCCGGAAGTCATTCTTTTGTATTTCTCCATGGCACATTAGTGTCCCGTTGATTCGTTCGTTCTTTTATAGTTTTAAGCCATGGCAAACAGAACGGTAAAAGATGCCAATAGCGTACACGGAACAAACCCTCAGTATCTTGTGGAGAAGATTATACGGACGCGTATTTATGAGTCTAAGTACTGGAAAGAGGAATGTTTTGGACTTACAGGTGAGACCGAGAAGTCTGAGGCACTGCATACTGCATTTAATAAGGTGGAACTAGAAAGAACAATAGTACTGGTATTTATACATGTATTCGATCTAAGTATGCTTTACTGTACCTGTTTCATTACATTGTAAAGTTGACGCGTTGCTCTTTGTTGTTTATTTGCTCCACAAGTGACGTAATGTGATTTAAAACTGAGGTATTCGGACAGTAGTAAGTCACAATTTATGTAAAGTTACATGCCTTCAATTTCAGATTATTTATTTAACAATAATAGTTGGAATTAGGTTAAAGTTCGTTTTGTATTCAGACATTCAGACTTCCCTATTAATAATATAATTTCAGAAAAGTGTTCCTTTAAGTTCTAAATAGGGAAATCATATAATCAACCAATGAGTATCAAAGCCCAACATTGTTTACAGTTAATTAAATAGTGCTAATGTTGTGTTGAAGTCATACTTGCATGCAATTTTAGACTGAATATTCAATGTAGCTTGGTAAATAATGTAGGGAGTCATGTCATTGCTCAAAAATGAAAGAATGTGCAAATATAAAACCTAATTTACCTCTGTAAAGTTGGACATTGAGCAGAAAAACGTCAAGAATGTACATAAATGTAAATGTATATAAAAATGTAAGAACATTAAAACAAACACATTTGAATGAGTTTTCTTCAACCATCGCAATGCATTCAACGTGTTTATACTACTCTCACATTAGTATATACAAATTACTGTATTTACCCTTTTGAATAAAGGCAAACACGACATTAAAAGTGACAAGTTTCTATTATAACATTCTCAAAACATTTGGAATAATTAGTTTTTTTTACCATATGCCTAGTGTTTGGTCAGAACTCTTGTTTAAAAACCACAGCTACTCTGAAAAGTAAATAAATTATTTTTACTTGAATAATTATTCACTTCAGGTAAAAAAATATATATATATATAAAAAGTATTTTCTTCCAAGCAGTAACGGTTCATGAATTTGTTAGAAATGCCTAATCGTATTTATCAACAAAATGTAGTCCCAAAACATGTATGAAATATAAGAAAAAGTGTAAATATGTTTTACAAACTTTTTTGATGCTAAAATAGAAAGTATTTTTTAGCACCTTATGCTACTCCAAAATGACCTAAACATGAAACGTGTGGCTTTTTTAGTGGTTGTATTTTTTTAAACATCATTATAAAACATTTAATGTCCTTAAAGATCAAAATGTACTTTTCTAATTTTATATTTGTAATTTGTTTTCCTATAGTATTTCTATATTCTCTATAGTATTTAGTATAGTATCTGACTTTATAGCATTTTCCAGACTTTATAACATTTGCACAGTGTTGTTGCTTAGTTTAATGTTAATAAAAAATATGTCATGTGTGCTATGCATGTATTTGGGGAACTGCTGTGCCAAGCTTCTTTTTAACCCATATTTTATAATCTTATTTCGTAGCTGAACTTGTTGTGGACAAAGCAATGGAGCTGAAGTTTGTTGGTGGGGTATATGGAGGAAACGTCAAGCCGACTCCATTCTTGTGTCTAACCTTAAAGATGCTGCAGATCCAGCCTGAAAAGGACATCATTGTGGAATTCATTAAGAACGAAGACTTCAAGTTAGTGTTCATTCACTGCTTTGTCACTATGCAGTTTGCAGGGAGGCATCGAAGTTTGCATTATTTAACCACTTTTGGTTTTCTTCTCACCAGGTATGTGCGTTTGCTTGGAGCGATGTATATGCGCCTGACTGGAACGTCTGTGGATTGCTACAAATATTTAGAACCATTATACAATGACTACAGAAAAATCAAAAGCCAGAATAGAAATGGAGGTTAGCAGTTTGCATGAACATTTAGTAGGTGACAAGACAATTTATCTTCACAGAAAAAGACATTAACAGTTAATGTTGTTGTTTTTTTTACTCAGAGTTTGAGTTGATGCATGTGGATGAGTTCATAGATGAGCTTCTGCATGCAGAGCGAATGTGTGACATCATTCTCCCCAGACTTCAGGTTGGTTGGACTTGTTATATATGTATATGGGCCTTAAAATTAACACCCACCAAATGCGGGTAGAGTTTAGCTGTGGCGAGTTAGACAGACACCCAGCTAGTCACTTTGGCTGGTTGAAAATAATTTTTAAATTGTCAGATCTGCCTCGTCCCTGACGATTACAGTTTTAGTTTAAGACCGTTTGTCAATATGCATGCAAATGTCCTCTTAGAATCAAGATGCGGCACGATTGATAACTGTTTGCACAAACAAAATAAAGCAGGTGAATAACGAATTAGAGAATGATCAGGTGCACAGTGAGACAAGCGATCCTTGCTTACTGACGTTGTGAGCAAGGCACAGCTATGTGATGCACGCGAGTGCTTAAAAGCTCCCGTTTCCTTGCACAAAACCACCTTGCCTGAAAATGCAACTGGTGCGATCATTTCTGTTTAAAAATAAATTGAAAAAAAGGCTTGTGTACCCACAGTCCTGGGGCCTCATGTACGAAGACTTGCGTGGAAATCTTACTAAAACATTGCGTACGCACAAAGCTGTAAATGTGCGTACGCAGAAAAAAATCCAGATGTATGAAACACTGCGTACGCCGAATCTCACGCATATTCTTTTGTACATCTGAATGAACGTGAAACTGAGCGCACGAGCTCATGCACGAGCACAAAACCCCTCCCTGCCTCCTCCCCTGTATGAATATGCTAATGACTATGCTAATGGAAAAACCCAACGAAAAAGCAATGGCAAAAGTAAGCAAAAAGAGAAACTTTGAACAGAATGTGAATTGGAGGTGCTGCTTTCGGAGGTAGACCGGAGAAAAGCGGTGTTATTTGCAAGTTTGTTCTCCGGAATTAACAACAAAAGAAAAAAATAGAGTGGGAGAGTTTAACAGATGCGGTTAACACAGTTGGGTCTGAACATCGCACTGAGTGCATTAAAGATAGAAATAGTGTGGTTTATATCTGTAAAATGTTGCAGTACCCTTACCAGTTTCAGTGGCGCACCTTGTAAGACGCATGTGATCATGACTAGTTTCGTTCGAGCATGAACTCGCCTCGAATCCAGCGTCTGATGAACTCTTTCTTGTTTTTTCCCCCGCAACATATCAGATTTTGCCCACTATTTATCACGAGAAAGACAAGTAGGAATCATCAATAAGTTCATATCAATAAGCATCATATTTTATTTGCACATTTATTGAATGGAAATGTTTCTGATTCACGCATGCAAATTCATCTTCAGATAGTGCCTTTATAGCAATGTGCGTGCGGTAGATCGCTCAGATTACATTGGGAAAACAGGCGACTGCTGCAAATTGTGCTTTAATGTTTGGCTGGTCAAATGTATGGTATGGAAACCTTATATACCTGCTGAACCCGTCTCATACAGCTGCCATTGCAAGGCTCAGACACTTTGTAGAGAGGAATTTAACACAACTGCCTCTAGGAGTCGCCAATGGAAATAAAACAGACACGCACAAAAAATGTGCGTACGCCTGCCAGAAACCTGCCGTAAACCTGCGCACATTCCCACGTTCAGTTCATTGTTAGTAAATCCAAACGTGAGCGATTCTGAGCGTGAAACCTGGCGTACGCAAAGTTTTTGTGCGTACGCAGCGTTGATACATGAGGCCCCTGCTGCTTACAAGAGATCTCCAGATTTATTGCATGCAGTAGCTGTTGCCGCTTTCCCTTTTATATTTTTTTTTTAACCGATTATTACCCAGTGTAACATTACCCGTGTACACGAAATCATCCTTCCACTGTCGCAAACAGAATATTTTTTACCTGCTTTCTTTTGCTTGCAGGTATTTTTGTTAATGGGGTTTAATTGTCATCCATTGCAATAGCATTACTTTAGGAGAGAACTCCGTTTATCTATAGTTACCCAATGATTTGGGACCCTTCGCCTGTACAAAATACTGTGTACAGTTTTAGATAAATAAGAATAATTTTATAGAACTGTCAACATTAAGAACATTTATACATTTGTATATATGTATGTTTTGACACATTATTTAAAATTTGTGGCAAGGACATAATTAGTTTGGTGTTGCCAGAGAAAAAAATAGCAAATCCTTAGTCTTGAGCCCTAAAAGGTCATGTGAAATTTTTTGAAAAGTTACATTTACGAGGAGGCATGTGGACATAACACAAAATTTTAAAAATTAACATTTTTAGCATGCCAAAGTCAAGATTTATGGTCAGAAAAATATTTTTTCCCAACAAAAAAAATTGTGGCTAGTAAAAATGGCGAGTGGCTAGATAAAATGTTGTAATTTCTTTAGGCTAAATGTGACTAAATGAAACAAAACATTTGTATATAATAATTAAATAAATAAATAATTATATATATATATATATATATATATATATATATATATATATATATATATATGTATATATATATATATATATATATATATGTATATATGTATATATATATATACAGTTGAAGACAAAATTATTAGCCCCCTATAAAATATTTCATTATTTTTCAAATAACTCCCAAGTGCTTTTTAATGGATTAAAGATTTTTTCAACACATAATTTTTAAACATAACAGTTTATTCAGGAAGCTTTGAGTGTTTGTAATACAAACAGAAACACAATTATAATCAAAAATAAAAAAAGCTTGGAGGTCAAAATTATTAGCCCTCTGATGTTAATAGTAAATAGTGTAACCCTTTTGCTTGATAACAGCCATCAGTCGTTTATTGTAGCT